GGCTTTTTCTTCGCAATTTTAACTGTAATGGACTGTAATAGGAACTGAGAAACTGCCAGTCTTGTACTACATGGACTGTAATGACATTTTGTGATTCCAAAATAAAATCTACTCAACCTCTATATTTACATCTGAATTGTACTAATTATACTTTGGTGTTGATTTTATCAACAGCCTTTCATACAAGATTTTTTCATGTCCTTTGATTAAGAAAAATTGCTTGGTTAAGAGTCTGTAACTCAAGGCTTTGATTTCAGTGATAATAATATATATTAATTTGCATGGTTTCTTTTAAAGATTTCAAGATAAAAACTGTCCTAGTAATTATAATTTACCATTAAATTTGATTGATACCATACATAAAAGGGGAAAGAGTTATAAAGATATACTAGAAAACTGTTAAGTTATTTTAAGTCAGTTTATCAAGCATACATGAGATCTCATTTTTTTATTGTGTTGGAACAGCCCATCAACCCAGACACAACCCTGTAGGTTAAAATAAAAGTTTTATTGAACTTGTAGGAAGCTATAAGTATCTTCACTTTAATGACTTTTACAAAATTTATTTTGTATGAACTTCTTTCATAATTTTAGGTGTGGAAAATTCAAACTGGTCAATGTCTTCGAAAGTTTGAACGTGCTCATACTAAAGGTATCACTTGTGTCATGTTCTCTCGGGACAGCAGTCAGTTGCTTAGTGCCTCTTTTGACCAGACCATCAGGTTTGAAAACATTGTCAATTCTCTAGTTAATTTTTTTTTTTTCTTATCATTGGGGCAGATTTTTTTTTTAATTTACTTTCTAAATCTTACCCCTACCTCTATATATACTTTACATTATCTACCATTGCTATATAACTAAAAGTCAAGTTTGGGTACCATTTTAAAATAACAATTAACAAATTTAAGTTTATCATTTGGTAAAGTGCTGAAGATTTAATTGTAGTTTGAGATACTGTTTTTAGTTCACTTTCTAAATCTTACCCCTTCTTCTAATTTGGTTTTATTTGAGCTATAATAGCTGAACAACCTTTAGATTACCTAAAAGACATTGTTAATAGACTTTTATCTTTTGAATGAAATTTTGAGCCACTAGAGCAGGTGAAGATCTGTGCTAGCTTTTTGAAATGTAACCCAAAAAACTTCCTAGAGTTATGCAATATTTTAACAATGAGTTTCAAATATACTTTCCTCTATCTAAACCTTATTTCAAGCAAGTACCTTTTGATTGTCAAAATGTGTTTGAAAATTCATCTGCTGGTATATGTTTAGTTAGTGTGATCTTTTGACTACTCACTATATTGATAATATGGGAACCACATATAAGACATCTGGTTCAGTGTTTTAGATATCTGCTATTGCAACTGTGTGTGTGTGCATGTATTTGAGTAATTTAGTACTTTATAGGTTAGGTTGAAATTGCGCTGTTAAACAACTGTTAAATGAAGAAATAACCTTCACAAAGTATTGAATATATTACTCACCAGTCTTAACCTGATGGTGCCACAAATAAACAGCCTAAATATCAGTCTGTATTAAAATAAGAATATTTCATGTAAAAGAACTAGATTTTATTTTATTACATGTGTAGCAGTTGTCTTATTTTTTAGTATGTATGAAATAGGTGTTGGTGTATACTTGATAACTAGCTGTTTATGACTTAGATAATTGTTTCTGGCTGGAATTTAAAAATATTAGGGCTATACTTTATAACTTGTTGTATTGTTGTTATAGTTGCTAGTGTGTGAGAGTGTTGATCTTGGATTGGTTTATGTCAAAATATATATGTGAAATTATTAGTTAAATACGAAAGGAAACGTATTAAGTCTACACATTTTTTATGCATGCCACTGAGTTTTTTGTCATATGCTTTTATTTTTCTTAAATTTAATTTAGTATTCATAAGTCATTTAAATTATTACCAAAAGCTTGTGAATTAAGTAATAAAATTAAGTGTAAGAGAAAAACCTTATGGTTGTGCTTGAAGTAAATATTTGGTAATAGTTTTTATTTAACTCTTGAATGTTGATAAATAACTGTTGTTTTGAATTTATTCACACTGATTTTAAAATTTTTCTTGTAACAAAATATGTCTGTTTTTTTAAGTTCTTATAAAGAAAGAGAGATCTTATTTATATCTGTTAAGTTATCATGTACTTTTTATTTCTTTCCTGCACAAATAATATTAAATAAGCTTAAAATGTTCATAGCTGATACTTAAAAATTGATGTAAATTCAAATGTATATACCACACACTTTTAGATTTTTTTTATCATTATTATTAATTATTTGGTGTTTATTATGCCAGTCAGTTCAAATATAGCTTTTTGATCTGTCTTTCTTACCTCCAGAATCCATGGACTGAAGTCAGGAAAGTTTTTGAAGGAGTTCCGAGGACATACTTCTTTTGTAAATGAGGTTGTTTTTACTACTGATGGGCACAACATTCTTAGCGCCAGCTCAGATGGAACAGTAAAGCTGTGGAATGTTAAGAGCACTGAGTGCATAAACACATTCAAGTCTCTTGGAGGTACCAGTGGCACTGACATCACTGTTAACAGTGTCCACACTTTGCCAAAGAATGCTGAACACTTTGTTGTTTGTAACCGTTCCAATACAGTATCTATTATGAATATGCAGGGACAGGTTAGTTAAAAGCAAAAAATGTACTAGTTACAACCACAGTTCTGTACATCTCTCAAGTACTGATTGAGTAATAGTGTCACATAAGCCAGATGTTTTTATTCTTCCCTGTTTTCATCAGTTTTTTCGTTTTCAAAGCATAGATCAAATCTTAAAATAAATCCAGTAATTAATATACATGTCTAATTAGGAGGCGGCAATGTCATAAAACATTATAATGATTGGAAAGCATTGATTCATCAATTGGATAACTTCACTGTTAGGATACTTCATGAGGTTTGGCTAGCTTAGGAGATTTAGTTAGTTTTAAATTCATTTACTATGTTAGCTATGCAAATAACCTTCATAATAAACAAATGTAGATGATAAAAACATACACTAAACATTTTAACCTGTACTGTTTATGAAACTAACATGAAAAATTCAAATATGGCTTACTACCATCAGGATTATACAAAAGAAATGCAGCACATAATTTCTGATTTGCACATACAGTTTGTTGTACATATAAATATTGAGTTTTTATGATAAACTGTTATTGATCATACTATCTATGCAAAAATATAAAATTGAACTGAGTTAATAAGTTAAAGAGAAGATAAATGGTTGCATTTAATTAGATTAAATGAAAATAATAATACATTTGTTCCTATGTATCACGAGTTGTGCCTATAGTAACCTTCTGTATTTACTATTTAGTTTTGCCCTCTACTTTTCACTTTACATTTGCTAATAATGATAATAATACATTTGTTCTTATTTTACAGTATAAGTTTTATCTTAGGTAACTTTCTGTATTCACTATTTTTGCCCTATGTTTTACACTTTACCTTTGCTGGTTTATTTTCTGTAGATTGTGAGAAGTTTCTCCAGTGGTAAGCGAGAAGGTGGAGACTTTGTGTGCTCCACTATCTCTCCTCGAGGAGAATGGATCTACTGTGTTGGTGAGGACTATGTGCTATACTGCTTTTCTACATCTACAGGAAAGCTAGAGAGAACTTTAACTGTAAGTCAAAATTGTTTCCTAGCTATTGCATTAGAAACGATGTGCTTACTCATTTCTAAAGCTAATCAATGAAAGTAGACAAAATGTTTATTTAAGTGATATAAATATGATTTTTTATTTTCATGTTGATCATTCAAAAGTGTAATATAAAATTTTGAACACTTAATTATCCCTTTTCATTGATTTGAACTGGACTTAATACTTCTAACTATTATTTAAACAGATTATATTATTTAAATCATTTTTTCTGAGTTTTATACATTTCTCTAACACTTCTTTAACATTCATAATAAATATTTTTATAGATCATGGAAGTTGTTTAAGAAATTAGTCCTACTGGATTTAATAAAACAAAACTGATATAAAAAATTTAAACTTATGATACAATATCTTACCTTCACTCACTCACAAAATAGCTTTTCTCAACTGGTACTGCCCTCTATCGGCGCATATTTTCCACTTACACTACTAGCCTTCCATCTCTCGCTTCTGCATATCCACATGCAAATGATCATGCAGTAGCTCTCTGCCAATAGGAGCATGACACCACTAATCTTGTAACCAATACCCTCTTCACATCTGCACTTGTTAATCAATTCTCAATTGGCAGTAGTACTGTAAAGATGTGCTGGTTTTTGTTTGCAAATTTGTCAGTATTTTCAGTTATACTACTAATGTAGTTTTTCTTTACTATTTATTTAAATTTTTGCATTTTGGTATGGTGAAAGGTTGCTCTTTTCAAAGCTTTTCTTATTTTTTATGGGCTTTTTTGCCAGTGTATTGTGGATCCCACTCTGTGACAAGTAGTGCTTGACCGGGTATCCCTTTTTTTTAATCTGCAATGTCTATCCTGCGACCATGCTCAATATCAGTTACATTGTAGCCCTTCCTACTGCGAACCTGATGTACAATTCCAGATGCCACCAGGTATTGGTTGTTTGTCTATGTTCTGTTGTCATCTATAACTAAACAATTAAGTCCACCGGATTGGGTTATGAACACCATGGAGATGGGGTGTTCCACAGGACTGCTAGTAGTTCTCTGTAGTGGTTTTTTTGCTTCATAAATATGTTCGTCCTGCACTGTACACTCATGGACTGACATGAGTAAAGCAGACAGAGATTGCTGCCCATCTCTGATGCTCTGGGGCATTGAGACTCCACCTACCGCAGACCTGATGTACAATTCTAGATGCTGCCAGATTTTGGTTTATCGAAGCTGTCACAGATATGTATATATAATTGCAGTTTGCCCCTCAAACTGATATGATCATCTTACCTACCATCCTCAGGATGTACATTCCCGGTGGGTTCGGTGCTGATTGGAGATGGTCCAGCTAAGTAAGTCCTCACATGTGTGCTGACTGGTATCTCTCCTCTTACCATGGATTGGATGACACATGCATACTGCCACCAAGTTTTTGACTGAAAATGCACTGTAGGTTTCTGGTCCTTCTTTCTACCATCTGCTGTATGTTGGTTCTCAGTGGTTCTGGTGTTGGTTGAATCTGGATGCCACACATGTTTTCCTGCTTGTGTATACTTCTCCTACCATGGACTGGAAGTACCATACCCATTGGCGTCAGGTTTTGGACCAGAGCTGTCATCCTGTCGGGGCTTTCCGACTTCCTACTGTCTGCTAATCTGATGTTGGTTGTGTTGGAAATGTGTGCAAGTGGAAAAAGATTTTGGTACAGAAACTCGTCTTCCCTACCAATTCCAATTTTGAGGGAAAGAGGTAGGTGATCCTCTACCTACAGTGGATCTGATGTACCATTCCAGATACCGCCTGGTGTTGGATGAGGTCGAACTACCACTATGGTCTATTGTGCCCTGGCTACTCAACACCCAGGAGTCCCATTAATCAATCTTACATATTCCTTCCTGTGATTCCTTTATGTTTTTCCACATTTAATGCTTTTGGCACACTCATAAAAGAGCTAAGAGTATATCTGGTTCAGATGTGATGCAGTCTTTTTCCGAGGTGTGATGTTTTCTCATTTGGTTTCACACCTCCTGGTCAGTCTTTGAGTGCTTCCAAAAGGTGGATCATTTTTTATCAGCCCTCCACCAGTTCAATGTGGGATTCTAGCTATTTTGTGAGAGGAGCTAAGATATCGTATTGGAAGTTAACATGTTCCTACACTGAAAATGCATTTCCAAAAGATAACTATCTCTTCTCATATTTTCCATATAGTATAGGTCTTCTAACCAATCTTGAAATGAATAACTCTTTCGAGATGAGTAACGGGTGAAAGGCCATGTCATCTCATTTGTTGACTCGCATTCAAAATTTATATCAATAAGTTTGGTATCAAACTGTAGATTATAATTCAAATTTTAGTACAATATATTACTAAATTTCTTAATTTAAAATCAAATAATTATAAAAAAACAGATAAACATTGATTTTTGTGTGTCACATGGTATGTTGAATGCAGCACTGGTTCAAATTAGATGTTTGTGAAGTCAAAATACAAAGTCTATAGTTTTGAACGGATTGGAAACTCAAATTACCGATACTGACAAGCTAGAATTTAAAATAAAAGAGCCTCTTATCTTTTCAATTTGCTAAGATATTGCTCATGTAATAAATCAAACACAGTGGCACCCCACCCACCTAATTCCATTTTTGGAAAATCTCCCTTATATACACTTACTTCAATATATGACATGAATAAGCAATTAGAAGCTCAGAATCTCTCCTTAGAGGCTTTCTCAGCCATTTTAACAGACTTGGCACCATTTCTTTTTTTTAACCAATATTTCAATGAGATAGGGTGTGTCTTTAGTCTGCTCGAAATTTTTTAGACCCAAATACATCTTAGTTACTAAGGTTTATAAATGGTAGTAGAATTCTGTGGTATTAATGTAGTAATTTATGATTTTTTAGTTATTTAAATGCACATATAATACCTAAAAAAATATTTTGTTCCATATCCTCCACATGCAAAAATTTTAAAAGGCTTATTAACAACCTTTGTCAAGCAGCAACCAAGTACAAAGGTTGTAAGTAGAAGAGATAATTTTTTTGCTTTACTTCTTTAGATACTGTTCTATGTTTTAGGAAAAATATGTTTAAGAACTTATTTCTAAATAGCAATAATCTATATAGATATATCATGTATAATAATTGAAATGTGACTGTATTTTACAAAATACTAGTCTACTAAAACACAGCAAAAAAAAGTTACTTTGCACAACCAAAATTTTATGTTATTTGTTATGGTAACATGAGTGCACGTCAGCCACATCATTGTAACTTCTGTATTGTTAGCCAGGTATGGCTGAAAGGTGAATATAATAAATATATATAAATTTATAATGTTATGAGATTTAAGCTATTTAGTCTAAACATTTATGTTTTCGTGTTATACTTTGTGTTCATTCTCGAACGAAAGAGACATAATTTATATTTATTTCCTAATTTTTTATGGTGGTTATGTGATTGGGGAAATCACCCGATCCCATACAGAGATTAATTATGGAAAATAACAGATAAAATATAAAGTAATTCTTAAGAAATGTTTGATAACTATCTCGACATTATAAAGATTTTGCATGTGAAATTTCAAACTTTTCTGATGCATAAAAATGTTTTAAATCTTAAAATGAAAATTACTTTGCATGATAGATAGGCATGATATGAAAAGAAAAAAAGACATCACCAAAACATTGCTTTACAAACCTTTGCATGATAGATAGGCAACATGCAAAAAGAAAAAATTGACATGAGAAAAACATTGCTTTATAAACCTTAAGACTTAATAAAAAATTGATATTTTGCATATGAAAGCATTGTAATGTTTACTGATAATATGCCAAATTTCGTTAACCTACACTTACTAATTTAAAAGTTATAGCATGAAAACTATAACAAACACAAAATGGTTACAAGGTTGGTCCCAGGGACTGAGCCCGTGCTGAAAGAGTTAACAAGTGCGGATGTGAAGAGGGCGCTGGTTACAATAGGAGTGGTTTTGTGTACCTATTGGTGGAGAGATGTTGCATAATCATTTGCATGTAGATATGCAGAAATAGGAGGTAGAAGGTTAGTTGCATCCATTGAAAATTTTTGCCGATAGAGGGCAGTGCTAGTCGAGAAAAGCTATTTTGTAAGAGGAAGTATTTATCAGAAATACATTTTCAGTGTTGGAAAATGCTAACTTCCAGGGGACTAAAAAAAACAAGTAAAGGAACAAAAATGTTAAAAAAACTATTTCATCATCTTAATAGATTTTCATAATGTAATAAATTAATAATTGTATGTAACTTTGTTTTTTCAGTAATTAAATTAGATATACCCTCTTTTTAATGTCCCTATATCTGTACACATTATCATTAATGTGATTTTATTTTTTAAGCATAAGAGGTGGGTCCATTGTATTTGCCATATAGGCCAAATGTTAATCATAGCAGTTTCGTGATGCCATAGATTTTAATAAATCATTAAATTTAATGTCTTAAATTTTATGTCAGTAAATAAAAACTAACTAAATAAAATACCTTCAATATATACACATTCCCACCAAAGAAATGTTAATATTTGACATTAAGTTTTCTGAAAATTAACAGTATTTTTTTACTTTTTCACAAAGTCAGAAATTCAAATGTATTATCTGGAAATCAAACATTGGAGGTCCACATTATTTCTGGAAAGTGCTGTTGTTTAGTTGTATTAACATAAAAATTTTCAGCTTCTGAATTGTATTATGTCACCAAGACTAGCACATTGCAAGCATACCACAGGGTTAGTACAGGTGCTTGCAAACATTAAAAGTACTTCAAATAGTCTTTTTTTGTGTGTGTGTGTGTGAGTGAAAAAACTGAAGGTGCCATCATAACACCTGATTCTAAATTTTTACTGATGGAAAATGCATGGAAGTGGTAATTTATAGTAAAGGTGGACAACTAGTGAATAACCATTCACCCTCTGTGTGCAAACAATCTCCATATTTTGTGATAAAGTGATTTATAATATCAAAATTATGTAAGTGAATA